AGTTTTTCTACACGTCTGGCAAATGGGAAGTGCTTAGTAAGCACTTTGTTTACTTAAAAACTTCAAGTTAAGAGCTAGAGAGATTATCTCAGCAGTTAAGAACACAGGTTCAGTTCACAGCACCCACATGGCAGTTCTGTTGCCCTCTTCTGACCTCCTTGGGCACTGCACAACACAGCAGGTACATAGATACAAAATACTTACACATATAAAATAAAAATACATCTTTAAAAACAAAAATAACTTCACTTTAAGTGGTTTCACAGACCCTATTCATAAAGAATTTACAGGGAAGAAATATATAATATCTAATACAATAGAGTGTGAGCTATACTACAATATTATATTAATCAACATTACTACAGGTCTCTGTCACTTTCTCCCTACTTAGTATATTATAATTCAAAAAAGTTAACAGGAAAAAACTAATAGAAAGTAAAAGGGCAATACTAGATAAACACTTCTCCCTGTCATCCCATTTGCTAACCATCAATAACAATTACATACGCTATAAAATCCACAGCAGGCCATTTAATGACATTCCTAAAAGTCCCTCTGGACTTCCATTCCAGACAAAAGCCTGATAGTAACAAAAGACTTATGTAGTTCAACATTCCATTATTACATCATATACTACTGAAATAAAAAAAAAAGATTACAAATACCTCTGTCATTAACAGTTCATCTTCATTACAGAGCACAGTATCTTAATTTTGTTTTTGTTTTGTTTTTTTGAGATGGGGTCTCCCTGTAGCTGACCTGGAACTCCACATCTCTTTCTCACAGAGATTCACCTGTTTCTGCCTTCTGAGTGCTGGGATTAAAGGTCTGCTATGTCTGGTGTAGCTTACATTTTTGGGACGCTAAATAAAATTCAGTTCCATAAATACGTCTTCTATACATACATACTCTGACATATTTTATGTGTTATATTAGAAAGTAAATTAACAGCTTCAACAAAGAAAAATAATTTTTTAACTCAAAAAGAAAAAAAAAGTGTATAATGCAGATCAGCGATTTTTTAGTGCAATGGTTAAGCCTCTATACTAGTTACCCTATCTAACCTCCAGCATCTGGAACATCCTTATATACAATAAAATACACGATTCTAAACTAAGAATTGCATTGGAGGGGGAGGAGCAGAATCACCATTGCAAAAAAATATAGGCTACCAGTTTTGGTTACTATTTCATTTAACTGTTGTTCACACGCCAATTATTTTTGAGTAGCTATGATGAGTCTGGCACTATGCTAAGCAACAAGGATTCAATTAACATAAAAGATGATAGTTTTTATCTTACAGAACTTTCATTCTACCTTGGAAAACGAAACAAAAACAGATAAAAGTATTAAAAATGTGGCAAATGCTATTAAGGAAACAAAGAAGGCTAAGCCACAGACCACAGCCTTTAAAAGCTGAATTGTGGAATTTTAACAGACCTAAAAATAAATAATTCATGGAAAGTTACATCAACATAACATAGATTCTATGGACCTTTGCTAATGTACAAGGAAACTACAGATATTGACCACGAAAACAGAGATCAATCTTTGAGTGTCAAAGCTATTGGATGGCATTGCTAAGCAATATGATGACCTCCAAAGATAATTAACCTCACAACTCCAGAGCAAACACAATCCTAAAGAAACAATAAGTGGGGGCTGGAGAGATGGCTCAGTGGTTAAGAGCACTGGTTGTTCTTGCAGAAGAGCTGAGTTCAAATTCCAGTACTCACGTGGCAGTTACATGTCTGTAACTCCAGTCCCAGAGTATCCGGACAGCCTCTTCTGACCTCCACTGGCACTGCACGACACAGATACACTGACCTACATGCAGGCAATACATGCATACACATAAAACTTAAAAAATTTTTAAAAAAGAAACAGTAAGTGGAACCTACAGGGATATGGTAGGTTAATGTAAAGTGGTACCCTGAAAGGAAAGCTGAAATGGAAAAAGCATAGTAGAATATCAGAATAAACTACAGATTTTAAATAATATGAAGTGAATATTGGTCCAATAATTATAACAAATGTACCTTACCAATCAATATAAGATATTAACTGGAAACTGGACACAGGGTACATAGGCACCTTCTACACTATCTGGCTCAATTTTTCTGTAATTTCTAAAACTGTCCTAATATGTAAAAGCACACAGCTAGAGAGCTAGACAGACACATACACACTTTAATTTAAAAAGGTTCCATTCAGTAGCTACACCTAGGAATACTGGAGAGTGCATGGAAGGGAAGAGCTTGTTAAGTAAAGAAATCATATCACCCTGGAGACTGATGCAGGAGGATGTCACCTTCTGAGCTAGCCAGAGTCAGTCTCTGTCTCTGTCTCTCTCCATACTGAAATCCACTACCTTGTCTACTAACTTAAAAAATTAATTTAATGGCTGAGAGTGGAACTCTATGGGTAGAGTGCTCACCTCTACCAAATGAAACCAAGCTTAGTGGTGCATGCCACAGTCCCAGCACTTCAGTGAAGCAGGGGCATCAGAAAGTCCATCTGCTACATAGGGAGCTTGAGGCTGGCCTGACTGCAGGAAACTGCCTCAAAAAGAAATTAATTTTAAAAAAGGAAAACAGAAAAAAAACTGGGTGTGGTGGTTCATACCTGAAATCCCAACACTCAAAGGTTGGGCCTGCACATGAGGCCCACCTGAGCTAAAGTGAAACCCTACCTCAAAAAAAAAAAGTGAAGAAATTAGAAGGCATGAAAATCTGCAGATACTTAGGAAGTTAAGGTGCTTACCCATGCTAAAAACTTCAACAGAGATTAATGGATTTTCAAACTAAATAGTTCTGCATAGTCAATATTCCTAGACTTTGCAATAATCATGTTAAATACCTACTTATCAATAGTGACCAATAAACTTTTTTTTCCTGTATGGCACTGTCCTGAAATTGCCATATCTCCACATTGGACCAGGATCAACTTCACAGATTTCACCAAGTTACTCATCTAATGAAATGCTCATTTTTCAATTTTTTTTATTAATACATTTACTTATTTACTTTGTGTGTGTGCTTATGGGAAGACACTCATCTGGTCAGAGGACAACTTGCAGGGAGGGAATTGGTTCTCTCCTTCCACTGTGTGGGACCTGGGGACTGAACTCAGGTCATCAGGCTTGTTGGCAAGTACCTGTCCTACTCAGTCATCTCACTGGTCTGGAATGTTTACACTTAAAAATGTCCATAAGCAGGCTAGAGAGATGGCTGAGCAGTTAAGAGCATTGACTGCTCTTGCAGAGGACCTGGGTTCGATTCCGAGCACCAACATGGTAGCTACGAACTGAACTGTCCTTAACTCCAGTTCCAGGGGAATCCCAAGCTGCAGCATTGCACAACACGGGTGCACGCACTTACATGCAGTCAATACACTCATACACATAAAATAATAAATTAATATATATCCATAAGCAAAGAAGAGGGAGACTCTATCTTCCCATTCTATGAGAAAGTCGGGGAAGAAATCTTAATATACAAGAAACAAAATAAATCTAAATATACAAGAAAAAGTATTTCCCAGGTCCAACTAGAGGCAATTTTGCAACCAGTGTAAAGCTCCAAATTAGTACAAATAGTTTAGGTTAGTAATAAAAACTAAAAATACTTATCAGTTACATGTCTTCCAGTCAAAATAGACGTTTTTATAATCTCATCGAAGACACCTAGTAAGTACCAAATGCTTCATTACTTGGAACTAATCTCCCAATGTCTGAATTTTAATGATTGTCATGAAAAATGACGGGGAAGATTGTAATCTCTGAATTAATGTCCAGTTTGTATAATACAGAATAAAGCTATTAGTATGAGTAATCTTTGTGACAACCATCACAAAATTAGGATCTTGTATGTAATACAAAGTACAGTGACAGCAGAACCCTGGCCAGATAAATGACATTACAATTCCATTCACCAGATCCTATGAAATACTAGGTATAAAATAATCAGCTCAAATGGTATATAAAGCTAATTTAAAAAGCTAGATGATGAATCTATTACTATTCTATTATCCAAAGACAATCCTACAACACAAAGATGTTCATTATTTTAAGCCATCGCTGACACCAATCTTAAATATGTAATTGGAAAATCCTCAAGAAATGAATGTTTCGCCTGTATTTCCAGTTTGTATCATCTGAAGAGACTCACATACTGTTTCGTGTGGAAAAAGGGAGGTGAGAGGAGCAAAATTCCAAGTAAAATGATCATGACATAGCATCTGGCAGAGATCGAAAAAGCCATTAACACTGCCAAAAGAATCGTCAATGATGAAAATCAAAAGAAGAAAATGAGGTTTTCCAACCAGTCACAACCCAACCCAGGGGACAAATATTGTCACTGCCAACGCCACCTTGTTTCAAGTCTCCTCCAATTCAAACGTATTAACTCTATAACCCTAATTCTTCATCTAGGTGAAAACAGATTTTTTTCTCCCTATGACCACCACTTCCCACCTTCCAGGAGGATCCGCAAAACTCGGAGCCCAGCCTCGGGGGAAAACGCCGCCCAGCTCCCACCCTGGTGGAAGAGGGACCGGTTCCCGGGAGTGGGGACCTTCCGGAGTTCCAGTGAGTACTGGAGAAAAAGAGCAAGGAATAAGGGTGGGGCTCTCGAGAGTCGGCCGGGGAGGAGGAGACCACGCAGGGCCAAGGAAGAAAGGGATGGACAGAAGGCTTGGCGGGGGCAGGGCCGGAGAGAGGGCGGACCGGCCGGGGAGGGGTGTCGGGACTGGGGTGGTAGGGAGGGCGGCCGGGGTACTCCGCGTAGGTACCGGAGTGGAGGCCGGCGCGGACTCCAGGCCGGGGGATCCCGCGGAGGGTCGGAGCGGAACCAGGCGGGGAGCGGCCAAAAAGGCCGCACTAGAGCACCCCGGCGGAGGGCCGGAGCGGAGGCCGGCGGGGAGCGGCCAAAAGGGCCGCACCGGGGGCGGCGCGGGGAAGCCGCGGCCGGCTGTCGGCAGCGAGGGAGCCGCGCACTCACCGCTCTGTTCCCCCAGGAACACCAGCTTGAATTTCCTCAGCGGGTTCCCGAAGTCTCCGCCCGCGGACATGATGTAGCCGGAGGAGCAGCCGCCTCAGCCCAGAGACCGCTCCCGTACCGCCGCTGCTCCAACCGGCTGGCGAAAGAGGGGGAGCAGAAGCGCGGCCGCCGACTTCTCGCGGCCCCTGGCCGGGCTCGGGCAGAGGAGCAAGGCTGACGCGAACGCGAGTCTCGGCCGACAGCCGCCGCCGCCGCCGCCTCCCCGCAGAGTCGCTGAGCGCCAAGCGAGGCCCGAGGCTGCGAAGGGAAGAAGGGCGGTATCGGAGGCAGCCTGCGGTGCGCTCGGGCTTCCCTCGGTTAGCGCCGTTCCTTCCCTTAGAATGTGGCGCGGAGGCTGAGGTGAAAGCTGGGGGTGGCGGTGCCCGCGCCGCAGACGGGTCTAGGACCTCGCACACGCAAGCGCCCGGGTTAGCACAGCTGCCGCCGCCGCCGCAGCCCAACCTGCTGAGTGCGCGAGCCTCTAGCGCGGCGCAGGGAGAGTCCGGGCGCGAGCCTGCCGGCCGGCCACTCTCCAACGTGCGTGCCTGTGCGTGCGCGTCGCCGCCAGAGCCTTCCTGGTTCTGTCAGCTCTCCCGGCTCCTCCTGAGCCACGGAGAAAGGAGCCGCTTTGGTTTCGTCTGGCGTAGGGAGAAGCCGGAGGAGGCGGGGCCGAGTCTGGAGCGAAGGGGCGGGGGGAGCGGGAAGGAACGTGACGTTACTGAGAAGATAAACCAATAGGAACAAGCGGAGGGCGGGCCGGGGTGGGGAGCGGTGTGAGGGGGCGGCGCGAGAGCGCGCGCGCTACGTTCACGCGGGTGAAAGAGTCGGGCGCAGGCGGCCATGCGAAGTGTGGCTCGTGGTATAGGGCGTGGAGGAGAGGGAAGAGACAGGAAGGTGGGACGGAGGCGGAGGCGGAGCCGGAACAGAAGTGGCTAGACCGCAGCCATGCCTGGGGTTGAGTCGCGCCAAGGTGTGCAATAATTGCCTAAACCCTCTGCATATCTGCGGTTCCAGCACCTTCTCTTTTTCAACATAATTCCTCACGCGGCAACAGATCTTCGTAGATCTGTTCTCGGCTGCTCCCTGGAGTTTCATCAGAAGCAGGGCCTCTCCATTTTGTAGATGAGGAAACTGGAGCCTAGCGGGAGGAAATGACTTGCGGAATCTACAAAGCCGTTTCGGAATAACAGGGTTTTTTTTTTTTTTAATCCTAGCCTCTGTTTTGTCTCATTATTGAGCCCATCCACGTCCCTGGCGTCATTTGGCTCGGTCCTGTGTTAACTAGCCCTTGTTCTCAGGTGTTCATAACGTCAGTTGATGTCCATTTTCTTGCTAGAAATCGTTTTAGACATCATATTAAACAAAACCTCTCACATCACTTAAGAGGAATGGAGGGCCATCTAGGACACGGCTTTGGAAAAGGTCACTCAACAAACTAGAGAGACGCCTGAACAAGAGCCCAAATCTGGCGAAAGAGTGCTTAAAAGATAACCCTTACCCCCTTTATGCAGGGCTTCTGGGTATGCTTGAGTGGGCCTCCCATAAATTAAGCATCTGAAGTATTTGCATTTTTCTGTGGATCGTCAGCCTGATTCATGATCCAATAATGATGGTGAATGCCAGAACAAGAGGAACCTAAGAAAACATGAGCTAAGCATAATGTGGACAATTACATAACATAATTAAATGTGCGTTTTTATCTGAATGGGATCTCTGAACACATCTAAAGAGTATTAGACAGAAAATACATTGAATAAAGTATGGATTTTAGTTAATAACTGTTGATATTGATTCACTAGTTGTAACAAATGTATCCTAGTAAACTAAGGTGTTAATAAAGGGTGCAGGAGGAAGATACCGGAAAATCTATGTGAACTCTGTACATCTGTCGCTATTCTCGTGGATCATAGTGGCTCACACTTGTAATCCCAGCACTCTGAAGGCTAAGGAGGATCAGTGTCAGTTCTAGGCCAGCCTGGAGGACAGAGTGGGATCTTACCTCAAAACAAAAAGGAACGAGAGTATATGGTTTAGTGATTTTCTACCTTGTTTGAGGCCCTAAATGTAATTTCCAGCACTGTGCCCCCCTCCCCCCTATTCTAGAGCTTGGAGCTGTGGAGCATGCCTGTAATCATAGTGCTTGGGAGGTAGAGGGTAGGAGGATCAGGCGTTCAAAGTCACCCTGTTACATAGCAAGTTTAGGCTCCATGAAACCTTGTGGCAAAGGGGGGTAAATTCTGTATAAAGTTCATTAATAAAATAAAAAGAACTGGGGCCTGGAGAGATAGCTGAGAGCACTGGCTACTCTTGCAGAAAACCCACTCAGTTTCCAGCACCCACATAGCAGCTAACAACCTTTGGTTAACTCCAGTTCCAGGGGATCCAGCATACTCTTCCGGCCTCTGCCAGCACTGTACCCACATGATGTTTTTACGTACATGCAGGTGAAATAGTTAATACACATAAAATAAAAATAATTTAAAAAAGAATGGGATAAACCATAGCACTTATCAATCATGTATTGTTATGGAATTAAGTTAACATAAATGCTCAGAACCGTGGTAGAAGCAGGTTTGGTTTTTTTTTTTTTAATTAACCATTGAATTAAAGAATTTGGTACCTGCAAAATTTCAGCCATGCCTCACTATCCTGTGGGACAGGTCTTAAATAGGCCTTTTGAAAAACATACCAAACCCCACATCTGCACTTCCAGAACTTAGGAAGTAGAGGAGTTTTAAGACCCTACTCACCTACATCATTGAGTTGGAAGACAGCCTAGGCTACATAAGATCCTGTCTCAAAATATCAAAAAAAATTTTTTAATAAGTCTATACATTTACGTATAGTATTTTACATACAAAACATTTATACCCTTGTTGATGACGAGATCAAACATACTATTCAAGATGACTTGTTGACTAGTATTAAGGGAGAAAATGAAGTTCTTAAAATGCTGCTTACTATGGCCTCTTAAGGCCACAACTATATCTTAGAACTTTACTCTCTATCAAAATTTACTCTCTGGAGCTGGGAGTATCTCAGTGGTGGAGTGCTTGCCTAGGTAGTTCAAAGCCCTAGGTTCAATCCCTACCACAAAATCAATCAATCTATAACAATTACTTCCCTACAGTTCCTCTCAGGAAAATGGGAGGAATTTTGAATATATATCTGGAATGAAAAGGTAAAAACCTAAGTCATGACATGGACATTTGATATTTAAATATTTTAAGACATGCATGGTGGCACACACACCTGTAACCCAGAGGCTTTCACAGGTTGATGGAGAATTTGAGGCCAGCTTGGACTACATAGCAAAACATCCCAAAAACAAAACTAGGGTGGCTGGAGAGATGGCTCAGTGGTTAAGAGGCCTGTTTGCTCTTGCAGAGAACCTGGGTTCAGTTCCCAACATCTAACATAGTAGCTAACAACAGTCTTTATAACCCCAAGACCAGGAATCCAGTGCCCTCTTCTGGCTTCCACAGACATTGCATGCATTGGTGTGCTTACATACATGCACACAAAACACTCAAATACTTTATTAAACTAGGGGCTGAAAAGATGGCTCTGCATTAAGAGCACTTGCTACTCTTGCAGAGGACCCAGGTTCATTTCCCGACACCCATAAAGCAGCTAACAATGACCTGTAACAATGGTCTGATGCTCTCTTCTGGCCTCCACTGACATTGCATGCATGTGGTGCAATTATATACATGCACACAAAACAAATACACATAAATAAAAATTATTTAATTAATTTAAAAAAACTAGCTAAGTAGGGTGGATCTTCTAATCCGAACGTTTCAGGAGGCTGAAGCAGGAGGTCAAGCCTGGCTTGTATAATGAGTTCAGGTGGGCCGGAACTACAGCATGAGATCCTGTCTCAAAAGAAAGCGTTTTGATTTTACAAGTAGCTTGGCAGGTCTGATAGGGTATCAATAGTAACTCAGTTTCTATAGTTACCTAGACAGGTAGTGTTATGTGGAAGGCAAGATGGTATAGTATACCCCTGACCCCAAATGTTTTGAAGCATGAAGTCTCCATCTTTTATTCTGTCTCTCTTTCCCACTCCCTCTCTATCTTCCTGAATCTCACTATGTTTTTCAGGCTGAACCAAAGTCTTGGATACAAGCAGTCCTGCTTCAGCCTCCACAGGAGATGAGATTCAGGCACACCAATTAATCTTTCATATTATATTGACATATACATAGCCTCATCCTCCTCTGAAGCTTCCTTCATATTTATCAAGTATTCTGTGTAAATCGTGTTTTGCCTCAGGAATCCCCTGACCTCAAGCATTGCCTAGAGAATGTTAGGCAAGCACTCTACCTCTGGGCTATACCCTGGGCCCATCTTCAGAGATCTGGTTTGTTTGTTTGTTTGAGATAGGGTTTCCCTGTAGTCCCAGCTACCCTGGAACTCACTATGTATACCAGGCTGACCTCAAACTCATAGAGATCCACCTGCCTCTGCTTCCTAAGTGCTGGGAGGAAAGGCATATGTCACCATGTCCAGCCCAGCCAGGGATCTTTTTAAAAGAATTTTACTTACTATTTGTGTGTGTGCATGCACCCACATATGAAAATCAAAGGATAACTTTTGAGAGTCAGTTCTCCACCTCCACTGTGGGTGATTAGATACATACAGATTAACAAGTTTGCACAGTAAGCACTTCTGCTTTCTCCATGGCCATCGAAATCTTAATAGTCTAACAACTGCATAGTAAGTGCTGTAAGGTTCAACAAGTGAAAAAAATTACTTTGGAAAAGAAGGAATTAGAAGTCTGTAATTTTTTTAGAGGTCTGTATTTTTAATATTTTATTTTTATTTATCTTGATCTAATCTTTAGTGGGGTCTTTTGTTGTTGTTTTGTTTTTTGTGTTCTTGTGTGGGTTTTTTTGGCTTTTTTGTTTGTGTTTTTTTTTTGTTGTTTGTTTTTTGTTTTGTTTTGTTTTGAGACAGAACCTTGCTATGTAGTCCAGGCTGCTCTCAAATTATAATTCTTCTGCCTTGACCTCCTGAGTGCTGCTGGGATTACAGACATGCATCACCGTGCTGCATACACTTCTCTGTACTTCAAACACTGTTTCTCCTCCCCTCTCCAGTCCTAACGGTCCTTTGGTTTTCACTTACAGAAATTGCATTAGTCTATTTGGGCTGCTACAACAGACTACCATAAGCTGGATGGTTTACACATCAACCATTTATTTCTCAAAGATTTGGAGACTAGAAAATCCAAAGTTATGATGCCAGAATATTTAAAGTCTAGTGAAGGCAGAAAGGGCCAGAGAGCTCTCCAGGGTCTCTTTTATAAGGGCACTAATCTCTCTCATGATGACTCCACCTATTTTACCTAATCTTCTTAAGTTCCCACCTCTTAGTGTCATCATTGTAGGAGCCAGGATTTCCACATAGGAATTTTGGAGGGACACATTCAGTCTGCTGAAGAAGTCTTGTGTTCTGCCGTCTTCCTCACCAACAGTCTAAGCATCCTTGCTCGTCTTTCACTGGTTCTTCCTCGTCACTTAATTGCCATTGCTAACTGGTGGGCTTTCCTAACTTTAAGCTCCATAAGATCAGAGCTCCC